AAGAGATTCATAAAATAATTTTTATACTTTCATCTGCATGAAAGCAGATTAAAGTATAAAAATGCCGAAATTTCAATAAATTACGTCATCAATCAAAAATATTATCTTACACTTAAAAGAGATAAATTTGAAAGTTAAATAAATAAATTTTGAATGCATTAAAAATTAAGTTATAATAAAAAAAAAATCACCAGGATGACGTAGAAATATGATATTCATGAGATGAGACATTCAAATGAGACATTCAAATGAGACATTCATTAATAAGTGCTTTAAATTTCAACGACTAAGTATGTAGCTATGTTAGCGAATCCTAGTTGGTCCAAGACTGGTTTTCCGTAAAAATGGCAAAAAACAGAAAAGTAATTCCAAATTAATAGCAATCATGGCGTACTTTATAACAGGCCTATTCACTGTGCGGATGACGTCATAAACTGGAGGCGAGTTTTTTGAACAGAAAAAACACTAATAACATGAATTAAACTTGAAATTTAATTTTCAATCAAAAAAATACTAAATAAAAAAATACTAAATACATTTTTTTACAAATATATCGATAAATAAATTTATACATAAATTTTTAAAAATTTTGTATAAATTTTTACAAATTATCATTTATTTTACTAAACATAAAAACCAAGTAAAACCAAGTTGAATAACTACACCATCATTCTTCATCATATTATTTTTATTTAAATTTTTTAAAACAGAAACAGTAACTTATGTTGGATTTTTTTTTGAAACTCAGTGTTAAATAACAATGTTATTTAACACTTAGTTTCAAATTTTTTTGTTTTGGTTCTTTTTCTGATCTTGGTGAATACAAACTACAATACAAGTTTTTAAAGAATATATTCGAAAGTTTAACACTATTCTTTCTATTAATATTCAGTTGATATGATTCTGAAATAAGCATCATTAGATTGCATAAAGAAGAAATGCATGTGTTATCAGCCACTTCGCGAAACATAACATAACAATATATAACCCATTGACATACAAAATCACCAGGTACAGTTAATCCTCCACGATTGATTTTGTCAGTAAATTATTAGAATTTCTCATAATAAAAGTATGAGTCATCTGAATCTTCATCATTTTGGACAACATACCCAGCTATATAAATCAGACTCATTTTTACATCTATGGATAATATATTTTCTAATTCTGGTAAGTTATCCAATTTCAAACATTTCTCTTCGTTCATGTAAAAACCACATCTTTCACAAGAATGCCCTGATGTAGTAAAATCAAGACTATCACCATTATTGTCTAATTGCAAAAGTATTTTTGTCTTTATAATACCAACTTTCTCTAATATTTGTTGTACAGTAATAAAATATGTACCACCTGATCCTTGCCTGAGTTTCCAAAACTGTTTTTCTAAAGGATCAGTGGTAAATGTTCCAAGCAAAGCATATTTATGATTTGTAGACAAGAGAAACTTTGACAACTCAACAAGACCATTGCATGTATGATAGAGACTTTTAGAAGTATCTTTTGTGAAACTTTTACAACGAATCTTTTGAGAAGAACACATTTGTTTAGCTAAGTTTCCAAATTCTAACAGCTTTTGAAAATTAAAATCACTAGAAGATAAAATTGCAGCTCGGTTTAGATCACGCATAAGTATATCTGCATAAGGGCTATGAACATTAAAAATTCTCCAAAATTTAATTATTATTGAAAGAAATGAAATAGTATCATCAACATTTTTCAAGTCTGGATGACATTTTAAGGCACGGACAGTTTCTTCACAAAATACTTTTAGGCAAGTAGAAACTTTTTGTCTTTTAATTGGTTTAGGGAATACAGCAACATCAGTAAGTTTAGACATTTTAATCATTTGATTTGATTCTAATTTATGCAATGCTACAATGTGAGACCATTCGGCAACTTTTTTTTCCATATTAACATAAAACTCAAGTTCTTGAGTATTTTCAGTTATCCAATTATTGCAAATATTTTTTAAAAGTTGCACAAAATCTTATAAAAGATAAATGTTATCTTTTGTATGCCAAGGTATGCCCTCTGTCTCAAATTTCTTCAAAAAGGCCTGATTTACTCTGTTACCATCACAAACTATACATACAACATTACCACCTGCTGCTTTTATGGCAGATAGAAAAAGGTTAGTTGGTTCAAAAAGAAAATTTGAATCAATCACGTACTGGAAGTATTTTACATAAAAATTTGGGTCCACTAAACAATGTAACTACCATAAAACTCAAAACAGTATTAGCAAGAACATTTGGATTGTTAACTGCTTTTCCAAACACTGTTCCCCTATGGTACTGCAACATAGTTTTAACATAAACTTCGTCTAATAAAAGAATACTATTTTTATGTCTAATATCAGATAAGTTTGAAAACACTTTTTGTAGAAATATATCTTCATGAACAGATTTTACTTTTGATGTTAGTTTTGTTAATGTTGTAATGCTAGGAAGTTGAAAATCTTCTCTAAGACGATTATATGTAGGACGTGACATTGAAAAATATTCAAATGCTCTAATCATTGCTTCAACAGAATATCTTTTATCTGTGACAAGTTTATCACCCATCGAAAATAGTTGCTGCTCAATAATATTTTTTTTACTGCTTATCTTGTAAGCATTTAAAAATCGAACTGCTTCTACAATATGCGACCATCTATTTAATATGGTAATTCTGTTCTGCGAGAGTGTTTTTATTACACATTTGGCTCCACAGTGAAATGTTTCGTACTGAAAATTATTATTTATATTTAGATTAAATAATGGCACACTGGTGTTATGAGAGAACTCTAATGATTGAATTAATACTTGATTGTCTGTTTTAGTGTTAGCTTTCTATGTTCGTTTTCAGATCATTAAATGATTTTATAACATTTTTTAAATTGAAAGCTGACAATTCGTCAGGTTGAACATTTCTAGATTCTGCATGTGATCTTAAAGTAGTTCTGGGACAACCAGATGGTGAAGGTATTAAACTTGATTTTACACACGTAAATACTGGAGGATCATGAGGTCTTTCTTTCCCATAGCCTTTTGTTAAAACGTATCCAACAGGCCAGTGCCTTTTACAAACTACGGTGTCTTTTTTATCTGGTATATTGTCTCTTGGTATAACTGCCAACCACTTTTTTCTTTCTTCTGGTCTTCGAGGAAGACGAAAAGTTTTTTCTTTGGAACTTTGATCATAATTTCCATTACAATTTGTGACACAGCATTTCTGACCCATGTTTGTTAAAAGTTTAAATTTTTAACTAAATAAATAAATAACAAGAGCTTTGACGCTTAACAGAAAATATGGTTTAAAAAATGCTCGCCTCAAGTTTTTGGCGTCATCCGCACGGTGAATAGGCCTGTTATAAAGTACGCCATGTTAGCAATATTGCTAACATGGCGTACTTTATAACATATTATAAAATATTGCAATATTTTAACAATATATATTTTTGCTCTGTATTATGTAAACATTTATTTTGAAAGGAAAGATAAATCTTTCATATTTTTTTTATTTGCAAATAAAAGCGTTTAGAGAAAAAAAATACTATTATTTTAAAGTTAATAATTTTTTATACTTTTTATGCGAAATTTTTTTTTTTGCTAAACTCGTGACGTAATGCCCAACTTAACATTGTGTGAAACATCCGCGACCTCAAAAGTAAAAGCTCAAAAATTACTCTGTTGAAACAATGATTAGAGCTTTTGAGTACTTTGCAATGTCACGTGTTACATATAATCATTTTCGAGAAGATTTTAAACTTCTTAACATTACAACGTTTGCAAGACTAACATCAAAAGTAAAATCGATTCATGAGGATATTTATGTACAAGAGACTTTTTTAAACCTAACAGACATTAGACATAAAAACTATATTCTTCTATTTTAAAAAGGTTATTTTAAAGAATGGAGCAATTGGTTGCGTCAAACCGAAATAAAACTAGGTGAAAATGCAAACAAAGAGATATTAAATAAAATCGTTGATGAAATTTATTATGTAATATCAGCAGCAAAAGCAAAAAAATTATGTGAATGGATAGAGATAATATTAAAGGTTTTATTTATCTGATCATGTATTAATATTAGAGAGAAATAAATTAAATTTTTTCTTTAGTATAAAGAAAAATGAGGTGAATCTAAACAAGAACAAATATCACTTTGCGAGGCAAAAAAAAAAAAGTAAATACTGTCAAGAATTTTTATAAGAAATAAGTTGAAAATTTTAAATGCTAAATTGAAGATCTCGAAGAAATGGGAGAGAAACAATCTGATATTTTAAAAAAATAAGCAAGATGGAGAACATTAAAAAGATATTTAAAAATATTTAGATTATGTAAATTTAATTAATTTAGAGTATTTATATATATATATTTTTTTATTCATTTTAATTATATTATATATATTTTTTAATTTATATAAATTTAAGTAATTTAGAACAACCAAAAAATTATGTTAAAAGCCAATTTTTTAATATTCTATACCTTTTTAAAAGACTTAAAAATTCAAAATTATCTTTAGCATATAAAATAAATATGGTTTTTTGCTAACAAAGGTTAACCATTCCTGCGATGTTATTATCTATAGGATTAGTGGTTATGTCAACAGTTCAAAGTTTTACAAATTCAGGTAAAGTTGACGAACAAGGTCAAAAAAGGTGAGCGGGACAAAACTTATTGATTTTACTTTTAGCTGCTTTAATTATTAGGATTAGTAGCAGATCTTGTAAAAAGAAAAGCTGTTAGAAATAAAAAGCACTAATTCTCATTAAGAATGGCTTACTATAAACCAGGAACAATCTTATATTTAAAACCAGATGACACTTTAGGTTTTTTCAATTTGAAATATGCTTTAGGTTGAAATAGTACAATAATTATTGGAAAACCGAAAATAAAGACTTAATATTATGCTAATGTAGCAGAATCAGAAAGTTGAACTTAAATGGCTTTGTCAGTATCGCAGTTCAGATGTGATGATGATAAACATCCAAAATTGGCTAAAAAACCACCAGCAGATCAGAAAGTTGAACTTAAATGGCTTTGTCAGTATCGCAATTCAGATGTGATGATGATAAACATCCAAAATTGGCTAAAAAACCACCAGCCGTCAGTGAAGGCTAGTACATAGGAGGTAGTCCTACTCAGCATACAACTATAACGAAGTTTCAGTGGACCTAAATAGATATTAAGACCTAAATTGGTAAGCGGACAACAACTATAGTTTTGCTCTTCGGTAACTTAGTGGACCATTTGAGGCAGCCGCCGGCCGATGATTAGGCACTATTATTTTGTTAGAAAGTTATCAGCTTGCCATTAATAGCGGCTGCCACTAATGGTCCGCTAAGTAACTGATGAGCAGAGCTCAAATGAACCGCTAAAAAAATGCTTATATAGGTCTATTGCAAATTAACTAAAAAAATGTAGGGAAATTACTACTCCTATTATGAGTATAAGGAAGGATATATTTATAAACCTCTTAAAGATCCACCAAATTAGATTCTTAAAACTGGTGATGTAAAGTTGAGTAATCTAATTTATTGCACAATGGGGGAGCAGGCTTCTGATCATTAACAATTAATGACTTTAAAAACCCAACTTTTTTTTGTTAATAAATATTTTTGCTTTAAACCAAAGTATAATAGAATATTTTATACTTACTCATTTAAGCAACCTCACGTTGCTCAGGATTAGACTCAGGATTACACTCTGAATAATGATATTAGCTATATTAATTTACTTAACTTTGATTAAACTTATAAACACCAGTGTTGTGATGTTAATAAATTAATGCTATACTGCAATGATACTTTAGCAAAGGCTTTACTTTATTTATTGTATTACTCGTCGTATTTTACGGAGACTTGGTGTTTCACTCCCTAATCAAAAAAATTTTCACATTTTTTAAAGTGATTTCAAAAAAGATTTAAAATGAGTATAATATTGGTTCACAAATATTCAAAAATTCTTGATTCAAAATTGGAATTACACTTAAGATCCTTAGTGACTTTTTTTTTTTTTTTTTTTTTTTTTATGTTGATTTAGGTGCCCCAAGAAGTCCTTACGGTCTTATCACAGAGCACCGCGGAAGAGCATTTAATAGTAAGTTCACGCCTCCTTCCTAACCGATGTCGCAAAACTTGCCCAGAGGTGGGTTTGAACTGCAGATATTTCGTTCCTGAGGCAAGTGCGCTACCACTGCGCCACGGCTGCTTATTCAACATGGAAAAACAGGTGATTATCACATTATTAACTTAAGTGTACGTCAGGTCCCGGATAAGAAGGATGAGATAAATAAATTCAGACTCGTGGCCGTTTCAGAAAATAATCGCAAATATGCCATTTGCCTTTTGTCACCACAGCTAAGCACTCGGAGCTCAATAATTACTGAACCCAGACAATTATGATCGCAATCGATTTATTATTAAAAATGGACAGTATAGTTGAATTTAACAATCAACTAACTATTGCCCCTGTTGGTGCTCCTCTAGATATGAATGTTTGAACTATATAATTAGGCCTGACATGAGTAATTCTGATGACGATAAAGAGTTTTTAACTGTCGAAGTTAAAACCAAAAAAAACAAAAGTTTAATTATAAGTTGTTGATATCGCCTACCTTCTGGTCAAATTAAAAAATTCAGTTTATTTTTAAATGATATTTTAAAAATTAGCACTCAAGAAAAGAAATTATACTACCTAATAGGTGACATTAATTTGGATTGTTTTTCAATACCAAATTAATTGTGGGATTAAAAATTTTAATAATGATTTATTATTTACATAGAGCGTTTCCGTTAATTAATAAACGAATTAGAATAACTGAGACATCAGTTACCTTAATAGACAATATAATTTCAACTTATATTTTTAATAAACCTCTTAAAAAAGGTATTATTAAATGTGACATCTCTGATCACTTCACAATTATTTTCTCAATTAACATTGCGACAGCAAAAATATTCAACAGAATGTAACGTTTACAAAACGCTTTTTTACTTCAGCAAATTTAAATTCATTTAAAGAACAGCTATCCCTACTGCATTAGAAAAACGTAAATGCTTATGCAGACACGAATGTAGCTTAGGTTATGACGCATTCTTTAAATCTTTTTATGAAATATACGACGTAAAATTTCCAAACTGTACTGTAATTTAAAAAAATAGAGGTTTAATGTCACCGTGGATCACAAAAGATCTCAGAAAATCTTCTAAAATTAAGCAAAAATTATGCATTAAATACTTAATTACATAATTTTAAACGCACCTGGGAAATTCTAAGAGGAGTTACTGGCATGCAAAAAACAAAAACATGCACACTGTCTGTAATCTTAAAAACTAATGATGAATTTTTGTCCAATCCAACAATGATATGCGATGAATTAAATAAATTCTTTGTGTCAGTTAGCCCAAATCTTGCAAAAAAAAAAAAATTATTTAAATAATATACTTCTTTCTTTAAATAAAACACTTTATACAAATCAATACGGGTTCAAAAAAAATACATAAACAGAACACGCGATACTCCATATAACTCGTAGTATTTCTAAATCGTTTGAAAATTTCCAATACTCGTTGAGAGTTTTAATAGATTTATCAAAAGCTTTTGATACAATCGACCACCTTAAAAAAGTTAAATATTATGGAATTGAAGGAAATATTTTAAAGTTACTTCAAAGTTACTTAAGTAACCGCAAACAGTTTGTTTGTAGTAATGAATTTAACCCATCTAATTTATAAAACATAACCTGTGGGATTCCGCAGGGCTCGATATTAGGACCCTTCTCTTTCTCATTTATATTAATGATCTTCATTTGATGTCAGTCATGTTTGCCGATGACACTAACCTCTTTTTGTCTGATAGTAGCATAACTACATTATTTCAAGATATGAACATGGAATTAACAAAAATATCTGATTGGTTTAAAACGAATAAACTTTTACTAAATGTTGAAAAAACAAAATGGACACTTTTTCATCCAGCGTCTAAAATAAAAACTACTTCCTTGTGAACTACCTTTACTTCCAAATAAAAAAAGGAATTAGTGCTAGTTTTTTGGGTATTATAATTTGTTGATGATGTTGGAAATACCACATTGAATTCTTGTGTAATAAAATTGCTAAAAGTATAGGAATATTGTATAAAGCTAGAGGTGTGTTAAATAAAAGTAGTCTAATTCAATTATATTTCTCTTTTATCCATTGTCATTTAAACTATGCAAATATTACTTGGTGCAATGCCAATAAATGTAAACTGGAGCCTCTTTATCGTCAACAGAAGCATGTTGCTCGTGTTATTATTTTAAAAACAGATTTACTCATGCCAAGCTTCTTTTATTTGAAATGAATATTCTTAAAATATATCAGCTGAATGTTTTTAATATTCTTTGTTTTATGTATAAATGTAAAACTAACTCTTCCCCAGTTTCTTTCAGACTAATTTTGGAAAATCTAGTGTTTTCAAGCATTTTCTTTGGAACAAAATAGTTTTAAAACATTTCAATTTTTCTCTGCAATGGAGTTATTTGTATTTTTTCAGAAATAAGCTTAAAGAAATCATTTTGTCACATGATGATATATTGTCATATTTTTACACGTTATTAATTTGATGTATTATTTTAGTTTATGTTTATTAAGTTGAATATTTATAAGAACATGCACTTAAATGGGATTAACTATATATGCACTTGACTTTATATATATATATATTGAATTTTATGAAGTTTTAATTTACGAGCGGTTCTAATGGTCTTCTGCGAGTCTCCGCGTTCTTTTTATATAAACAAAAAGTCTTAGTTTTATTTTTATTTATTTCTCATTGAGTAACGTTTTTAACAATCTAATTGTAAATTTTCCTAACGATCTAATTGTAAACTAATTAATTTTTCTTTGAATATATTGTAATAAGAACAAATATATATATATATATATATATATATATATATATATATATATATATATATATATATATATATATATATATATATATATATATATATATATATATATATATATATATATAAGATATAACCATAAAAATGTTTTCCATAAAATTAACTGGTGTTTCAACGACCAAAATAACAAAATCAACGGATGGAATAACGACTAAAACAATAAATACTTTAAAACAAACTGAAGTGATAATAGCAAGGAGCTAACAAGTTTTGTAATAGCAGGAGCTGCAATCGTAGCCACTGTATATACTCTGAAATATTAGACAAAAAGGTTGCTTCATATTAAAGATGAATAAAGTATTAACTAGAAAAAATGAAACAAACTCACGCAGCTCACTAAGTAAATATAACTGGAACTATGACGGTTACTTTAACGGTACCGATAATAACATCGGTACACACTATAGCTATACAAAAATTTAATTACTATATAGGCACTAATACATTCGGTACCTTGTAAAAGCAGAAAGCGGCTTCTCAATAGTTTCTTTAATTAAAAATAATACGACAGTATTTGATTGTACTCCAATTAAAAAATTAAGAGAATAAGATTTTATTTTTTTTCTTATTTCTTGTTTCGCTGTTTTTTCTTTTATTATTATTTCTTCTTCTTCCAAGTTTATACTTTTTTCTTTATGTGAAACTAGCTCAGAAAGCAAAGCCTCTTATTATTCTTTTCGTTTAGCAGTGGCGGCTTGACCTGCGAATATATATATATATATATATTTTTAATTTAGCTTTAAGGGCTTCTTTAATAACTGTTTACAAACTTTGGTTTTTAAATTATTTACATCCAATTTTTTAGCCATTGCTAAGGAGTGCTTATTATTTGTTAAGGATTGCTAACCATTTGCTTAGGATTTCTTATTGTTTTTTAATAATCTTGCTTAAAATTCCTTAACATTTTGGTCTATTTGTGTTTCAATAACCATTATACATTTGCCAAATAATAAAGGTTGTAAATCTTGTAAAAGAAAATTAAACTTTAACTCATTTAAAGTTAACCCAAACTTGAGTTCATATCAACAAATGCATTTGCTTCCCAAGTAATATATGATTTTGTTCCATCATATTCAAGAGGATGTATCATTTGGTTTGGTTCTCTTTTTTGAGTAATACCAAAAAGGTCGGGTGAATAAAAAAAAGGTTTTACTCTTCGTTTTTGGAGTAATTGCTCTGCTTTTCGCGAGTAAAAATTTTAGCAATTTAGCTCAATTTTTTATT